AAATACAAGAGTTGAAGTTGGAATGTGTCACTAGAAATTAATTTCTAAATTTCATATGTTTATCTTATTATAAGTTGGAATGTGTCACTAGAAATTAATTTCTAAATTTCATGTGTTTATCTTATTATAATTAGATATGTGATATTGATATTTTGAAAATTTTATAAGATTTTGCACATGTGCAGGTGAAGAATAAAAGTTTTGCTAATTAATGGTACCAAATTATTGTCTAAGAGGAACGTGAAATAAGTTATATCTCATAATGGACATAATAAATCATCGAGGAGGATTGGTTGAAGCCATAAGAGTTACCTACAGGAGTAACCCAACATTTATGATTGGAGATCACGTGAAGAAGTTTCAATGTGGTAGAAACAATCTGTACTGTATGATTTGTAATAGCACTATTTTCTTTGTGCTCATCCCTATGGAGATAGTGCTAATAATATGGTGATACTAGGAAGGATTTAACTCTGAATGAGTACCAATGTGAGAATTCTCGTGAAGTGTGGGTCACATGCACCCTTGGAGGATTCATCTATGTAAGAGTTTTCATGAGGTCGTGGCTATGAGATTGTGCTATTTCTTAGAGACTCTTACAAGAATTAAGATTAGAGCACATGGCCGTTAAGAACACTACACACTATGAACTAGAACCCAAATCGATATTGTGTGTGGAGCAATTGAAATTTTGCCAAAGGAACCTAATTCAAGGCTTAGTCCATTATGCTATTACTAAGTGATGTTCAAGTCCAAAAGATACCTACACCTATTGCTTATGTTGCCACTATAATATATATTTATCTATTTTGAAAGTTTAAAACTTGTGGGGGATTGTTGTAACATAAATAAGTTTTAACTTTCAAAATTTAATCCGATTTTAATTTTGCAAATCCAATTTTAATTTTGCAATGTGTAACTTACAATTTAATTGAATTAATTATCCTTATTGTGGGGGTTGTTTTAACATTATAAAAGGTATGTGAATTTTCATTGTTAACTACAATATGAATATACAACTTGAGATACAAAAAAAAAAAAAATACTCTTTTTATATTTCATACTATATTTCTATAATTTTGGTAACTCGATAAATGTTCATTCTTTATCTCCCTATGGTCATGCCTATAGAGGGAAAACCGACTTTGAGCCATATATGTTTTATCTTTGAGCCGTGTAGTGCAAAAATACCCTCACAAAGGGAATGTAATACGATTTTAGGACAGCATCTTTGACGTGGCTCCCTAAAATTTGCTTTTCTAACTCCCTACTTATTTTTTATGTTTATGTTATTGTTAAATTCTTATGTTTAGTTGAATTGTTTTTATGAATGTTAATTTTTTTTACTTAATTGATTATGTTAATTGATAAATATCTACACACAAATCACCCATTTTTTCTAATAAAATATAAATGGTTCAAAAAAATCCCGAGAGGGTCTAACATAGACCTATATGCCACAAGATAACAAGGACGGAAGATATTGAACATTTGCCGACATGCTGGCATCTCTCCATTTATATTTTCCACTTTCCAATACTCTTTTCCTTTGACTAAGAATAAAGTATCTTGTACATTGTTTTCTTGACATTAAGTTTGACACCATGTGTAAATTAAATTGGATATTGTAACTTCAGACTTTCAAATATAATAATACGATTACAACTATGCAAAATTATCAAAAATTTACAAATAATGCTCCATGTACATTGTTTTCTTGACATCAAGTGTGACACCATGTGTAAATTCAAATTGTGTTTAGCGGGAAAGTGTGTTGTTTTTAAAAACTGCCCCATGTGATGTCGTCACGTGGTACAATGTCAAACTTGATGTCAAAGTTAGTATACTTGTAATATGATTGTTAGCTTAAAACCAATAGAGAAGAAAGATATTTTAGTGAACTTGCAACCGGATGTAAATAAAATAAAATATAAATTTCTTTATCAGATGATCACATGGCGAAATTTTTTTTGTATAAATTTTCTGAACTTGAATTGACAAACCAAATGAGCAAGTATTCATTGCTAAATATGCAAAAGAAAGTAGAAAAACCTATATAAGAAAGTATAATGCATAAACAGATTTTAAACAAAGAAGAAAATAATGAAAAAAAAAAAAAAATCTCAGTACATTGATTTGCATTCTGAAGATGCACAAGTACAAAGAATATGCAATAGAGACAAGGACGGTGAACAGTATGGCTCTGATATTTTTCGCTATTATCAGTGAAGTTAATAGAATATATTTTCTAGAAATAAAATTTTCAAGTCGCAACCAATACGTTCTTAACCTCTATCTAGGGGAAAAATAACATGAGGGTGAAATTTTCCACACAACTTAGAACAGGGAAATATGTTGAAGGCATACTGAAAATTGTAACAACTAAGAATGGAATCTAATCTTCCCTAGGGTCCAAGAAAAAATTTCTAAGCCTTTATCAGACTCGGGATCCCTTGCGTCCTTCCCACCCAACCCACCAATAAGAGGAATGTTAGTAATGTTGAGCATAACTCCACCTAATAAAACCGGCTTATTAGGGGAGGATTGCCCTCATCTTATTAAATGGATCATTTATATTTTCCCAAACAATGTGAGATTCTAATACTCCCCCTCACGCACAGCGTGGACCATGCCAAAAAATTGTAACCACCATCAACTCCCATACAACTTACATTCATTTATGCATTGGAAAATAGAGGGAGAAAGGGGACGTGAAAAATGGAGTGAAAATTCGTATGGAATTTTACACCTAAATTGGAAAGTCTTTAGAACCATATTTTTGGCATGAAATCTTACAAAATTTGACACTTAGATTGTGGATAATAATCCCCTTGTTAGGAATATTGAGCCTAACTCCACCTAATAAAACCGGCTTATTAGGGAAGGATTGCCCTCACCTTATTAAATGGATCATTTATATTTTCTCAAACAATGTGAGATTCTAATAAGGAAAATAGATGATAATGACATTGATAATGATCAGTAACTATATAATTAAAAGAACGCCTCGAAGGGCAAGAACGCTACGAGGGGAGAGCCACCAGTAAAAAAATTGTCAACCTGACATAAAAAGAAAAAAAAAGTATTAAATGAACAATATCTCCCATGAAATACAAATGTAGACAAGAACTGAGGGGGTGGAGATGTAAGGAAAGGCGTTTGTTGCAAGTATAAAAGAAGAAAAATTCAGCCATTCCTAGAAGAGGTATTCCATTTAAACGGGAGTAACCACATAAAAAGAAAATAAATGAAGTTATGGGAGTAGATATTTAATGTATTATTGTAGTTACTCTTATTTACATACAGTAGGTACTCAAATTCCAATGAGCATACAAGAACATGATTGTCCAAACTTATTCTTGAATCAACAAGAGTCCTTAAAGGTAAAATCAAGCAATGGAAAAAAAATAAAATCACCTTAAATTCTAACTTTGTATATCTTAATTGAGGGGTACAAGTCTGCAAGAAATCACTTTGCCCAGGTGGAACCCTCTCGGAATCAGAGTGACTGGTTACAGTTGTTCTTTTCTCCCATCCCCTGGTAGCCACATGGAATTGAAGACATTGAACTTATAAACACTCAGAACTTCAAAAATGAAATAAGAAATAGTCCATCATTACATGTGATCAACTTGAAGCCACCACTTGGTGTACCTTTGTTGTTACTTCTAGATTTATATTCTTTAATTTTAGCTTTTAGCAATGAAATCTGAAACATGAGTGTATTTGTGAGAAGACAAAGTAAAATATCAGGAGAAATAACAAATGCACAACTGTAGCTAGGGGCGGACCCAGCACCCGGTGAGGGGGGGCGGCCGCCCATGCTGGATCCACCGGAGTTTTCAATACCGCAGGGCGTCGGATCACTGTTACAGAGAGAAGACATGAAGAAGAAGAAGAAGACGGGAAGAAGATTGCCATGCTAATTTCAGCATGCACATAGAAATGGCGCAGGGACTGCATCGGAACTGCAGTAGAATCGGCGACTGTCTGTGAAATTGCGCAGGGACAGACTACCAAATGAAGAAGATGGATTGAAATTGGTTTGGGCATTTTTTTAACTAGTGGGCTTAAGTTGTTTTAGGAATTAGGCCCCTTTTCAAAATAACATTAGCCATTGCCCAAAATCCAAAACCTTCATATATTGGTTCAGGAGAATTGCTTTCTTTCTCTGATTCTCTCTGCACGCCGTGGACTTGCTCAGTTGCTTGTGACCCGCCATCTGCATGCCATCGACTTCCTTTGCTGGAGTTTTAGTTTGTAAGTCTATAATTTGTGTGCAAAAATTAATTTGAAACTTTGATTCTTTCTTCCAGGTTTTTTGGTTTACATATAATCCTTCATTCCTTCTACTAATTTTGAGTGAGCTGTTGGTATTGTAGTTGGTTGGTGTTTGATTATTATTTGATTGGGATGCTTTTGATAATTTACCTATAAATTAGTGATTTGAAATTTGGGTTCCTGATTTTGATGATTTATAAAATATTTCTAAATTGTATCTATACATAATTCAATATAATTTTATACTTGCATTGGCTTTATTTTCATCTTAACTTCTTTTGGGTTCTCGAAACTTTAACAAAATTACTTGTTATTTTGTTAGAGCAGTGTCATGAGAGATTGATTTATAAGGTTATGAGAGATTGATATTTTAAATCTAGGCAATCTTGCAACGCTTCAAAAAGTTAGTTTATTTTGGTCCTTTTGTTTTGGGCTGAGAGAGTTTGGTATTTATACAAGTTTGAGTCTTTTTCTTTTTTTTTTT